TGCAGGTGCCTCTCTGGAGCCCAGCAGCAGCCCGGTGCTGGGGCAGGCTGTGCTGGACCAGCTGCTGGAGCCTGCTGGGACCTGCCCAGCTCGTGGGGAGCGGCGCGAGGTCACCCCGCACCCCTGGGCGCTGAGGAGGAGCTGTCTGCAGAGCACACGTTGTGGTTGTGGAGATGAAGTGACTTCCCCAAGACACCTTTGCTTAGTGGAAGCTGAATGAGTTTCCTAAATCAGTGCCCTGCCTGCCTAGACCGTTCTGCCTGGCATGGGCATCTCTCCATGCCCAGCTTTGAACTTGCTGAGGCTGAAACTGGGGGTTCAGTCTAAAAAAAGTCCTCCTATTCCATCACTCTGGTCTCATTTTGCCATTGTAAAATATTTTATGCAAGTATTTATACAAATATTTATGTGAAATTCTACCAAGCTTCTCTGCTTTAGTATTAATTTGTCTCTGGTTTTAAAAACAGTTGAAAATTCATTTTTACTGTCAAGCCCAGAGTGCATCCTGTCACTACAGGCTTAAATCCTCACTGAACTTGGCAAGGCTCAGGACCAAAGTCACTGTGGTGCCTGGGAAGACAATACCCTTCATTATGCCTGAGTGTCATCGAGTTACACTCGTTAAATCATCTAATCCTAATTACAAAGCTACAGCCTCGCCCAACACGAATGTGCGGAGAGAACAAATTGGTCCTGTTGGACCTGTTTTGATTTACTATCTCTGGAAGCAGAAGACAAAAAGAAGAGCATCTTCCCCAGAGCCAGTGCTCTCGTGGCACTGGGATCATCTCAAACGAGGAGACAAGGGGTGTGCCCCAGCTCCACCTGAGCAGAGGATCCCAAGTGCAAGCAGGAGGCTCTTCTGCTTTGGGGATGGTACTCGTGGCAAGTCAAATGGAAGAGGAGGGAAATACCTTTGAAAATCTTCATATTTTTTAAAAAAACCAAAAGGTAATTTCGAACCAGAGATAGAAATCTGGCCCTGAGGGTGAGATTCGTCCTCTGTAACACCATCTGTTAAAAACCTTCTCTGTCCTTCTCAAAGGACAGCCTGTTCTCATCTCCCCCAGGCTGGGTCTTCTTGCTCAGCCCCGGAGCAAAGCGGGGTGTTTTCCCTGTCCCTCTTCTACAGTCCTGTCTGGTTGGTACCTGCAGACAGAAATGGAACCTTTGCTGTTTGGTCTCCAGCCAGAATATTGCTTCTTTCCTGGGTGCACGGTGCAGTATCTCCAAGTCTGTGCACAGCTGGGGTATTTGGGCAACAGAAGCACAGATTTTATTTCTTCCCCTCTTTTCTTTCTCGTGGCCCCAGCAAACAGCCCACTGAGCCAGAGAAGGACATTTATGGGTAGCAGAGATATTATTTTAAACCTCTTTTCAGCTCAGCTGTCGTGGAGGGGTTTTATCCTGTCCCTCTCCTGCTGGCCCTGGCTGTGTGTGTGTCTGTGGAGGGAGTGACACTGAGTCACCCTGAGAGCTGGCGTGGTCTGGAGGTGGCACCTCTAGTGGCAAGGGGAGGTTCGGTGGGGACTCCGTGGCCGTTGCATCCATTCCTGGGGTACACCCCTGCACACCCCTCGGGGCTGCTGCCCAGAGCTGCAGGGGTCCTGGGGCTTCCTGCTGCCCACTCCTCCAAGCCATCCCCTCTCCTCTGTGCTTTGCAGATTGAAGCCCTTATGATGGAGATGCAGAACCCAGACACGGGCATCAAGACGCAGATGCAGACAGTGATGGTGGCAAACATCCCCCATGCTGTGACAGGTAAGAGCTTCACCCAGGGCAGGGACCACACCAAAACAAAGCTGTGTGTGACCTCCCCAGGGTGACCACTGCCTGGCTGCCTTCTGGAGCCCACGTCCCAAGTCAATATCCCCTGTGCATCCTTTGAGACACACCTGCTCCCTTCACCTCCTTCTCACTCGTGCCTTGTTCCACTCCTAGCTCTCTGAAGCAGAGACACAAAGATGGGTGATCACAGGCTTTTAGCTGTCTTGTGTGAGTTTAACTCCAGTTTGCCTTTCTGTCTCTTAGCATAGAGGTGAGCAGGTGCTTCAGCCTCCAGGCCTGTCATATTCCCAGTGGGGCTGGATCATAAAGAAAGATAGATATTCAAATCTGATTAAAATATGCAGCCTGGAGCTGGACTGAAAGGCAGTACTTCAGAAATGAGCAATAAACAATTAGTCTCCCTTTTAATATTTTCTGCTAATAATAATTTTTCTTCAGTATGCAGGAAAAGAACAAAATATTCAACACCTTTCCCTGCCTGTAAATGGTAGTTTTTCCTCCCTTGGGTGGGCTGAAGCAGCAGCAGACAGGGAGCTGTGCTGTGTCACAGAAGGTGGCACAGGCAGCTCTTACAGCAGCCTCCTCTGTGCCTGTGAGCTCCTTTCACAGGTCTAGCTCTGCCTCTGCTTCCCTGCTCTCCCAGGCTCCACAGGAGCTCTTGTGAGGGACCCTCCACTATAAATATTCACACACCCTGTACCAAAGTTTCCTCCTCCTGCTTTGGTCTTTCTGCAGCACTTTGAAATTCAGAACAAAGACTCCCACTGAAACCAGTGAGCTTGCTCCAGGCAGCTCAGGAGGCAACTTAGCCAAAGAGATTGTTTTCCCCACTGTATTCACGAAGCCCAGTAGGCCCTGTGTGCCCTATTTTTAAAAAAATGAGGAAGCAGAGGCACTGAAGTGTAGTCACTTGCCCATGGGTGCAGTCAGTCAGTGAAAGGGTCCAAGGAGAACTTGGATGACATCTGAAGCGTGCTCTCAGCAGCACCCTCCATGTGTTGGAGTGCAGACCCTGCCCCAGCTGACACAGCTACTATGCTGCTGAATGCTTCTGAATGACACAGCTACTGTGCTGCTGAATTTGGTGGAGTGCTTTGCATCTGCAAAGGAGCTGGCCTTGCTTCCTCCAGCTGTTGGTGCCAGTTGAGGCAGCACTGCAGAAGAGGTTCCCCTGGACTGCAGATGACGTGCCACCTCCACTGAGTGCATGGGGAACAAGTACTTCTCTTGGTGCCTGACCAGGGTAAAGTGCCACTTCCTAAAAGTCCAGGGCTAGATGCTGTGGGGGGAAGGTGCCCCTTGGGGCTCCTCCTCTTTGCGTGCTGTCTGCTTCGTTCTGGTTCCTCAGCCAGAACTGCTGCGAGTTCCCTCTTGCATCAGGCATAAATTCTAGTCAACATCTGATAGGAAAATGAGTTCCAGTCTCCTTGTGTGGTGGTCATCTCTCTCCAAACTATGATGTTTTTAGTGCACATAGACTGATGGATGTGCAGAAGAGACTGATTCATGTTTGGTGAGGGACTGGTGAAGGCATTGGAGCTGGGGACACAGTTCCATGGAAGAGAGCTTGGCTCCTCACGTGCAGGAGGCTGACTAGTTAAATTCAGTGTCAGCAGAACAGCTCACAACAGGACAGGCAAATTGCCCTCCATGGTAAATGCACACCTTTGGGGGAGAATGCTTACAGAGAGCTGTCTTGAAATGAGTGATGGGATAATCCTTTAATTTCATCTATTTCAGGAAGCAAGCAGTAGGATAAGAGCTCTGAGCCCCTATTAGAAAGCTAAGTCATCACTGCAATGTCAAGAACAGGTCAACACCTCAATCTGAAGCCCTAGGGGAAGTTTGGAGGAAAAAACCAATACCTAAGCAGAGAATGGGTGTGTTTTTACCCTTTTTAAAAGGAGGAAATTTGTCCCCAAAACATAAAATGAAACCTGCTGGAACTTCATGCTGTCTATTGGTACGACTGGTCACACTCCAACAAAAGAACTGGGAGAGATGGAGTGTTTGTGAATGCAGAAATCTTGTTTCATTTAGATAGGTTCTGTTAAGACTACAGCTTGGATCTGAGGCTCAGGCATCCCTTCTGCACTGAAAGTCCTGTCTCTGAAAGGACTCCAGAGGACCAGGCACTGGTCTCTTACTAAACCTGAGACAGGACCATGCTCTGGCAATCTGGAGCTACTCTGCAGTGAATCTTTCAGGACAAGCTGGTCCAAAACAAGGGGCACTTCTCCTTCCCTGGGTGTGAAGCTGTTGCATTGCTGGAGCCCTTCCTAGGCTGGTGGTGAGGGTTGAAGTGTTGCTCAGGCCACGCTCATGCTGTGCCATCATGGTCACTGCCTGCCTTGGGCTCCCTCTCCCAGGGGCTGAGATCTGCTCTGACCTGAGCCACAGCATGGCTGGGGAGAGACCAGCAGTGCATTTGATCTCCACTTCTCTTGCATCCTGCCCTTGAAAGCACGTTTACAAGAAGGGCTCTGTGTGCTCAGTGGGATCTGGAGCATGGTGAGGGGTGAGGACTAGGGAGGTCTCATTTTCACCCATGGATTTTGGGACAGTGCCCATTTCAAGCACTGGATGTTTTCTTTGCTTCACAGGTCATGATATATTCCAGTGGATTCTCCAGCGCTTGCAGATCACTCAGGAAGGTGAGTAGAAATGTAAAAGTTGAGGCTTTTCAGCTTTGAGATGTAAAACTTTAGGATCTCTATAGACAAAACCTCTTTGATTATTTCTTCTCCCCAGAATAGCAGCTCACTTTTAAATTCCAGTGCAGTGTTTCTGTGCTACCAAAAGGTCTGTCTGCCTTCTCCATTTTCAGAGGCACTGCACTTGGGGGACCTGTTTGTCAAATACGGGTACATCTACCCTCTTCAGGAGCCAAAGAACCTCACCCTCAAGGCAGATGGCAGCCTGTACAGGTTTCAAGTGAGTTGCATCTTCTCCAAAGCCATTGAGAGGGAGTTCAGCACTCGTTCTAAAAGCAGGCAGCTGGGTGGTGTGCCTCTGGGCATGAATTCAGGGCTCCTGTGTGCTAACAAAAGGCTTGTTTTCCTGCAGACCCCCTACTTCTGGCCTGCACAGAGCTGGCCTGCTGATGACACAGACTATGGTGAGTGGCACCTTTCTCTGGGGCTTTGCCCACCTGTTTGCTCACAGTCCTGCACCCTGTTTGCTCTTCATCTTCTTGTGCTGTGTGTCCACGTGCAATGACCAGCCCTTGCATTTTCTTTCATGCTGTTTTGTGACTAGTTCTCAGTAGTGCTGAACTCAGGCAATGCTCTGGTTGTGACCACCTTGTAGTGGCCTTGATGAGAGAAAGTGCTTTAGCTTCTCTTATCTTCTGCTACGACCCACCAGACTGGAACACATCTGCAATGAATAGGGAAGACTTTAAACACAAGGTTAGAATTCCCCAAGTAGTTAAGTGCAGTCCTGGATCTGAGCCCAAGACTGTCTTCCTCTAGGTTTGGATCAAGCTCTGCATTCAGAGATGGTTGTTTCTTTATATAATGCACAGTGGCTTTCAGCATCTCCTGATGGCTCTTTCCATATCAATATTTCATTGCCTTTAAAATGATTTTTATTACAGGGCTGGTCATGAAACTTGGGCTGATTTGCTCCTGTGGGTTGTGCAGTTCACAGACTGCCATAGATCTAGGGAAATAAAAAAGCCCATTTTAGATCGGAATGTTTTTAACAGAACTTGAAGCAAAACATTGTCTGATGGTTGGAACACTTGGAGGTCAAACTCTGAAGAACCTCAACGTCTTAAAGATGTGGCCCAGTGTGCTTTTGGCCCATGAAGTCCTGGCTGGGTTCTGAAGGAGCTGCTGGTGCTGAGGAGGAGCTCAGCACCTGCTCTGCAGGGCTGCTCCCAGCCTGTGCACTGGCCCACAAAGCATCAGGGACAGTCAAAGCACCAAGTTAATTTTTCTTCAGTGAGCTCTTGTGAGGTCAGAGCTTGTGCCTGGGCAGATATTGTAACAGACAAAGACTCCTGGCTTGGTCGTGTGGGTGAATCTTTAATTCTTCATGGATTTGCTGGTCTAACTGACTTCTCTGCTTCTCCCTCCACAGCAATTTACCTGGCAAAGAAGAATATTAAGAGGAAAGGGATTTTAGAAGAATATGAAAGGGTAAGGAGATGTACTCATCCCATTGCAGGCCCCTCATTTGCTACAGCTTTAGCCCTTCTGTTGCTAACAAATGAGTGTGGGGAAGATTCACCTCTTCAGCTGCCTGAGCTGTTACTCCAGCAGTGTCAAAAGCCAAAATTTTGGAAGTGAAAAAAGCAGCCAGTACAGGAAAATACTCTGAAGCCAATGACAATTTTAGGAGGGATAATTGCTCTCCTTGCAGTGGTATTTTTGAACTGTTGCAATTCATGTAATTACATTCAGGACAATCCAGATTTCTTGGCTTGGTTGCCAGACTGGCCTAGCAGAGCTATGGAGAGTCAGGCAAACCCTAGCATGGGAGTGCCTTCTCCAGAATTTTCACACTAACTGCTTTTTTTATTTTTATTCCAGGAACATTACAACATGCTCAATCAAAAAATAAACTACAAGTGGGATTTTGTTATTATGCAGGCCAAGGAGCAGTATAAGTGAGTTGATTTGTGTTCCCTTACTTGCCTCGTCGGGGAGGGTCTGAGGAGGCCAAGCTTGGTGCTCAGTTAAATTGCAGTTTAAAAACAAACTGCTGCTTTAAAATAACTTGCAAGTGTCCCTCAAGACTGTGAAACAAACCTGTCAGCTTGGGGTTCCTCCATTTAACGAGGAAACTTTGTTCACTTGGCACTTTGTGCATGAAGGATTTTGGACATTTCCAGAGGACTGGACACCTGCAAAGCCTGACCCGTGCTGCAGCCAGACTTCAGATCTGTTCTTGGTCTGGCTCAGTTACTGCTTGCCCATGCCTGAACTGAAGGGCCTGAGTCAAGAAGCAGTAAATGTTCCCAGCAGGGACTTCTGGGGAAAACTAAACTGCATACTTAGGCACCCAGTGAAAATGTCTTGATTTTTAGGAGCTAAATCCTTCAACTTGCCAGGAAAGCTGGTGAACCTGAGATGGGATTACTCTTTGGAGATAGGATCTTGCCCACTTCTGTGGATCCCTTTTACCTTTTCCACCTCCCAGCACAGCAGGCACTGCCTCTGCAGTTCAGCAGCATTTCTGGGCTGATGGCCAAGTCGTCAAAATACAGCTCATCAGATAACTGTCTCATTAAACACCAGACTGTTGTTCTTCTAAATTGAGGTCAGACTTGGGCTAAGGGATGCCAAATGCAGTTTTAGATACCAAGACTGTGTCTGAACTAGTTGGTTAAACATGTCTGAGGCTGTTTGGTGCTGCTGCTGGGGCAGACTGGTGCAGAGCAGCCCTCATCCACCCTGCTAACCACAGCAGGGTGGCCACATGCAAACAGCCTTTTGGGAATTCTCCCTTGCCCAGGCTAAGTCCCAGATTGTGTCCAGGACTTGTCTGGGAAAGGATTAGTTGGTCCAAGCCCAAACCATGCTAGTGCCTCTTCTATTTAATAGGAGAGGTGATGTGGGTTTTAGTGCCTGGGAACACTGCTTGGTACAGTTTCCAAATAATTTGGGTGAGAAATGCTCCCCTTGACTGTGAGACACATCTGGGGTGTATCTCTACGTGGCAGTCCTCAGGTACTGCCTGGGGACACAAGAGATGGATGAACAGGAGGCAGCAGCACTGACCACAGGCAGCAGGATGTTAGCTGAAAGCTACCAAAGGGCTGGCTGCCTGACCAGAAGAGGAGGTGTCTGCTCCCAGCTGAGCTCAGGCAGATGATGATTTCTCCAAAGCTATGGTCATGTGTGGCAGTGTGAGCTGCATGCCCTGCAGTCCAGAAGGAGCTGGGCTAAGGTGTGGCCAGAGGGCTGCAGCAGAGCATCGTGCAGCCAGGCTGGGACCCACGGGGCAGGGTGGGCTGGGGGTGTATCCCCTTCCTCATCCCACTGCTTTGAGGAGAGCAGCACTCATTAATTCCCCTGGTAGAGTCAAATCCTGTTCTTGGCTTTTCAGGGCAGGGAAGGAGCGGAAGAAGGAGGACAGGTATGCCCTGGACTGCCAGGAGAGAGCCTACTGGCTGGTGAACAGAACTCCTGTAAGTAGAGGATGTTGGTGTGTAGCTTCAGCACCTGGGTGTTGCCCTCCCTGCAGGCACCTGGGACAAACTCCTGCACACTGAGGGCCCAGCCTCTGGCCTGTGCACCGCATCTCTTCTCAGCAGGGCAGGGCTCAGCCCAGGCCTGCCCTGACTCCCAGCCACCTTCCTCCTTCCTTGCTCTCAGAGGTGCAAGGGAGGGTGGTCCAACTGCAGCACCCATGCTCAGAGGGGACTGTTCCCAGATTTGGGGGGCAGAGCTGCCCTGGGGCACTGCTGGGAGAGGAATCCTTCAGGGCTTAGTTCCTCATGCATTTGTGTGAACCACAGACTTCAAAGCCCCTGAGTTACAGAGCTGCTGCTGTCTCCTGTTCACACAGCCTGGCATGCTGGACGTCCTGGAGTACGGGGTGGACCGTGCAACGGATCCCAATGAAAATAAGGTAAACCAGGTGAGAGGTTTTACTTCTTTCCACACCTACTGAATTTGTTTGGGAGGACCCAGACAACATCCTTGGGATTGTGGTTTTCTGGGCAGGCTGGTTGAGTCAGCTCAGCTATGACATCCCAACAGGACAGAGGTTGAAGCTGTCTCATTGTCCTAGGGGTGGGGCCCTCAGAATAGGCTTTGGCAGCTTCATTTGGCTTCAGAATACTCTGCCAGCTTTCTTGCCACACCAGTTAGTGTGAGTGCTTAGCTACAGGACATGTTTTCTTTGCTGGTGGAACTGAATTAAGGAATCCTCTATCTCCAGATGCTCATAGCTGCCTTTTTATTAGTGCTGAATGAACTGCGTGGGGCTGTGGGGTGTAAAGGATCAGAGGAAAGATCCAGGTTTAAATTAAAGTGACAGAATACCTCCAAAAGGGTAACAGTGCAAGAAGATGGAGAAGTTGGCAGAAAATGCTGCCTAAAAATGTATGCTGTATAGCTAGACCATAAAGAAACAGAATTAATGAACTGAGACCATGGAGGCTCTAACTGGATGGGACTGGTTCAGAGTCCACCATAAGACAAATGCAGTTGGTGGATGAGGAGCTGGAGCTGCTCTTCTTTCTCCACCACTCCTGTGCACTTAACAATGTTCATTTGGAAGTGAAGTCAAAGTGTCTCTCAGCAATTAAATGCAAGTGTTACTGCAGTCACACTCACTGTATTCCCACAACTTCTCATTTTTGTAACAGCCTTTAAACATCTCAGCAGCCAGAGGCAGGATAATTGCTTTGGGCAACTGTGTTCTGTTGCTATAGAGACTGAAAATGAGCAGAATGTGTGACTGGGGTTTATTTTATTTTTTCTTGCTGCAAGTAGCAGCTGCTGAAAGCCTTTTTTTTTTTTTATTAAGAGAAAAAGAGTGGTGCAAAGGGAGAGGGAAAGAAAAGAGGAGTAAGCCAACTTCTCACCCATGGTTTTACAGCTGACATGGAAGGAGATTTTAGGTTTACAAGTGGTCTGGAAGCCTGTAGCCATCTGGCAGCTGCTTGGTAGCACAGAGGAAGTGAGCTGAGGAGTCTCTGTTCAGTTCAGAGCCTCAACAAGGGAGAGCTGGTTGGTTCCCCGACTCAGCAGAGACTCTGAGGAGGGCATGAGCCAAAGGACCCCAGCCTTGGGGTGACTTCACTGCCTTGCTCCTTGAAGTTAGTCTCTGAGCTGTGCCTCCTCTCTGGAGGCTAAGCTGGAGAAGTTCTTGCTCCTCTTTTTGCTTTTGAAAGAGCAGTTGACAACACACAAGATGGGCAAAAGGCCACACAGAGCCACCTTTGGACTAGTAGCTTGTTTTATTTCTGCATGTTGCTCTCACAAACATCTGTGGCCCAGGCTCTGCTGGTGGCTGCTGAGCTGGACTTGCTTTGTTGGCCATGTCTCACCCCTGCTGAAGGCAGTGCAGAATGTTATTGTTGTTCTCTGTGGGCCCAGCCTCTGGCTCTGACATAGGTGAAAGGATGAGAGCAGAAAATGAGTGTATGGATCCAGCACCCATTTATCTAATCCGTGTCTCTCTTCCCACTCAATCCAGCTTCACTTTGTGGGCCAATTAGTTGTCTTTTATCTTGACAACTGAGAGAGAAAATATCACTGGTGATAATTAATTTCTGACATCAGAATGACTTCTCTGAAGCTGCTGTTGGCATGAACATCTCTCTTTCACTTGCCTCAGACCCTTTGGTGGGCTGTCTCCTCCCTCACTGATAGAGTCCTCTGGGGCTAAACAGTGCTCCTGTTCCTCTGAAGGGGACTTTTATTGCTCAGCCATGGGCATCCCTCTTGGTTATAATGAGGTAGGAGTTGTAGCTGGGCAGGAGGAGTGAGGCAGAAGTAGCCATCCATTGAACACCTAATTAAGGGATGCTTCAGCCTTTTGTTGCCCAGGTCTTGGGCTCATGATGGAGCCTCACTGCTTAGAGAGTTACCAGGCAACTGCCAGAGCCTGCTGGCTCTACACACTCAGCTCTTGCTGCCTTCTGTAACCAGAGCCTTCCTGAAAGGTGCTTTAGCTTAGCCAAAAATCACTGCCCTAGACTCGGGGACTACTGAATGAAATGCCCTGGCTTGGACACAGCACATCAGCCACAGACCATCGTAGGCCTTGCTGGCCTTTCATTCCACAAGTCTCTGGCAGTTTGGGTGCCTGATACATAGGTAACTTCTGCTTCATCCAGCACATCTTTTGAAACAACGGGGTCAGAAGTAAATAAACAAGATGGGGGAAAAGTGGCAATGTGCATGGAAGCAGGCAGGCAGAGATCTGATTTCCAGCCTTTGGGCTGGACCCAGCAGCACAGTGGAGATGCACCTTGAGATGGTTTGTCAGACCCAGAATTTTCCATTCCAGCATCAGAGAGGCCGTGCCCACAGGTTTTTACCCTGGCTACAAGAAGGTGAGCTCTGGAGGGAGGCTGAGCTGTGCTGGTGACCCCCATGGTCATCCTTGCTGAGCTGCACAGGCAGACAGAGAGCACTGTGGCATTCAGGGCAGACTGGCAATGCCCTGGCCCAAAATGAGCCCTGGGGAACAGCAGCCTTGTTCTTCACTCCAAGCCCCATCTGGGCACACACATAAAAGCTGTTGCCCAGCTGTTTGTGGCCTCAGTAAATACTGAATGGTGGCCAGACAGGCAAGAACATAACGAGCATTATCTCCACAATGTGGTCAGGAAGATTCGTGCTGAGAGCAGAGGAGGTCCATGCAGATGGGTAGCTGGAAATCAGCAGACGTCCCAGCTCAGCTCTTGCAGGAGCTCCTGGCTCCAGCCGTGTGGATCTGCTCCAGCCACAGGGCTCCTGGGCAGGTCCTGGCTGGCTCCCAGCCTGGTGGCAGTGTGGTGTGACAGGGGTGGCTCCCAGCCTGGTGGCAGCGGGGTGTGACAGGGGTGTTTTGGGGAGGAGGGTGTTTGACAGCACAGGGCACTTATCGGGGTGACTGCGGCAAGTCGCTCGCTGAGGGCATTGCAAAATTAATCTCATTATAAGGAATGACTCCTTTGTTCCTAATATGATTTCCTTCCCAAAGAGGGAGGGTGTGTGGGTGGCCCAGGGCACTGTGGCATTGCTGCTGTCTGGCACAGGGGGTGGGATGGTGGGGACAACAGGCAGCACTCAGTGGGACATGGAGAGTGTTCAGGGACCCTCCTTCCAGCAGTGAAGCTGGGAACTGGTCATGGGAGCACCGTGGGAGAAAGGGAGGTGAAATGGGGTGTGGCTCTGGGGGGAAATCCTGAGATCCTTCCCAGTTCCTGTGCATCCTGAGCACAGGCAGCACCTGCAGCCCCCAGCGGGGTGTTCAGCATTGAGCTCCCCAGGTTCTGCTGCAGTTCTGTGTCCCACTGCTCTGTGCTGCTCAGCCCTTCTCATGCCTTAGCCCCTGCAAAGCCCCTCCCCACAAAACTGGCCTGGTTTGCCCAGGACCAGCTCTCCTGAGGGCTCAGGCTGTGGCAGGAGGGGATCCCTGGTGTAGGATGCACTTTAAAAACAATATCCTTCCTTGTTTGGAGACATGACATTAGCTTTGATGTTTTTTACTCGCCCACATATAATTTTTTTGTTGTGATTGCATTTTAATTTATGCCTTGCTTGCTCTAGATGACATTTCACTTACTGTGTTCTCTCTCTCTCTCTTTCCCACCAGCTGTTTGTCTCATGTGTGTGTGGTGTGCTGCCAGCTAGGACCCCTGTAGAAGATAACACAACTTGGCTACCACGTGAGCTGCCTTCAAGCCACTGTGCCAGCACCCACCTTTCCTTGCCCCACTGCACCAGGCCTGTCTGAGGCACCCACTTGACAAAACAGGAGAAATGAGGGGCATTTCAAAACCACCTAATGATTTTAACATGTTGAATTTTCTAAAGTAAATGCCCCAGGCACACATAAGTACTATCAGATGGAAACATTCAGCTGGCACTTGTAAATCTGGTGGGGCCTGGTTTGTATCTTGGGTTACCCAAGGAGACAGTGAACTCCTCTTGTGGAGGAAATAGCTGGCCTGAAACAGAAACAAAGGTCTCTAAATAGGACACCTCTAGGACAGTACATGCAGTGGATTTCTCTGTGCAAGTAGGTGGTTTTGGTTTGGTTTTTCTTTTTTCCATTTCTACAATCCATCTGAAACAGTGATGACACTGTAGAAATGAGGGGAAGAAATGGTGTCTGTGTGGAAGCTGGCCCCTTGTGCAGTTCCTGGGGTGTGGCCAGCAAAGCATCACTGCTGGTCAGCTGCCCTTTGCTTCCCTGTTTCTCCCTGCTGAGGTGATGTGCACTGCAGCCATTCAGAGCTGGTTGTGGTGTGCCCAGCAGAAGCTTCTCCCCCTTGCAGTGCCACGGTGAGGGTTTCTGCCCAGGCTAGGTCTCTGTTAGGATCAGCTGAGCTGGCTTCACAGTAGTGCTGTACAGCTTGGTCAATCTGCTGTGTGTCTGGCTCCTGCTGCTGAAATGGTGAGTCTGCCCTCTCAAAGCCAACCCTGCTTCAGCAAAATGTACATATTTTTCTTCCATAGAGAGCAGTTTCTCCCTCCTGAGCAGGACTAGTGATGATGGTTAAACTGCAAACACAGATCTGCACCAACGTCCCCACGACAGTCCCTCAGAAAGCAGCAGCCCTGGGGGCGTGTCCTGCCCAGCCCAGGGTGCAGGTTCCTCTGGGAGGGGCGGGTGCTCCACCCCTCCTAGCTCCCAGACTGCCCCTCCCACAGCACTCTGCAGATCCCTGTCTACCACGGGGTCAGTTTGGAGAGTTCTGGGCTGCAGATCAGCAGCGTGACTTCTGCTGGCTAAAAGGGGAGATGCAAAACTCAGATCCTGTGTGAGCCTTTAAAGGCTTGCTGGGGTGATCCCTGACTTAGCCTGTCTTCCCTTCTCCCTCCTCAAGTTCATTCCACACAGAGCAGCTGTGCTTCAAACACAGCTATGTGAGCAAGCACCCTGCACTTGAGATCTTACCATCAGTTGCTTGCTCATTTGTGGCTGACGTGTAACATAGGCTGAGTTATTCACCTCACCACCTAAGCACCCTTTGCACAGCACATACTGCTGCTGAGGCTTTTAATTGTGGTGTTTATATTTTGCAATGTGTTGGTTCCTGTCTCCTTCAGCTAATATTGAATGATCTAATCTGTGTCTTGTAAACGAATCTATTTTAGCTCCATTAGAATAACCCCTTAATTGAAGGCACACAGGCAGGCTGTGATGGAAGAAGCAATGCTGAACAGTAAATACAGCTAATGGGACAATTTATGGTGTGTGGATGCTCTTAGCTTTGATGATACCTTGATTAGCTGAGCTGCTGCGTTTGATTTTAATTACAATGAGAATTAATTGGAGAGCACTGCAGAGCAGCAGCCCTGCAACGGTGTTTTCCCGTCTCGGGAAAGGGGAGTGAAATCTCCCACCCCCTTTAATGGGTTCTGTTCCTTTATTTTACAGAAAAAAACTTTGGATGTTTATAGGAGAGAGGTAAGTGGTGCTTCCCTCCCTCCCAGGTGTTCATCCTGTCTGTGGTGCTTAGACCAGTGTTGCTCCAAGTCCCCTTTGCAAGGGATGAGCAGTTTTAGAACCACCTGGGTTTGGCTGGCAGAGCCTCTGCCCCGTGGAGCTCTTGGTCAATGTGTTCTCAGGATGTTTCCTGCCCCTGCACCTCCCAGTGCAGGCAGCCAGGAGCTCCCCCAGTGATGGGAAGGCTCAGGCAAGGACAGACACCAGGGCTAAAATCCAATAGATCAAAATTAGTGATGGGGAAACCATAGGAGATCCATCCAGTGGCGCCAGTGCAGAGGCAGCCAAGGATCAATGATAATTACATGCTACATCATCCAGAGCATTTGTAGGTGCCTGGAATGGTGGCTATTATCCAATTTTTAGCTAGCTTTGTAATTACTTGCACGTTGTGAAATGCTCTTCTGGCATTTGCAATAAGCTCAGTGAAAGCAGCCACTTCACCGAGGCAATTGCAGGATTCTCTGATTCCTTGGACATCCAATAATTAGGGAAGACACAGTCCCTGGTGGGGCTGGTCTCACTACCTGTGAGGGGGCATGTTTGAAATTCAGACAGAGATGGCCTTGTCTTCACAGCTCCATGCTCCTAACCACAGATGTCTCTGCCCTCTCTCAGATCATGTACTATCAGCAGTCCATCATGAAGTCCAGAGTGAAATCTTCTGTCTCTCTTGGAGGGTGAGTCCTGATTTCCTTCTGTCCACACATTCATTAGTCTTCAGTGCTTATCTCTTAACAAGGAAGCTCTCTGCTCTGGCAGCTGGTGGCTGAGGCAGGGGAACACACAGCATGGTGTCTGTGCTCTCTGGGCTGTGTGTTGCCTGGGCCAGGAGGTAGAAGGCAGAGGAGAGGTCAGAGTCCCAGTCAGGATGAAGAAGCTTCCTTGGAGCTGAGGAGACCTTTGCTGTGAATGTCTGCAGAGCTGCACCAGCCTCTCAGCTGAGATTCTTTCTGAAACCAGGAGATGTTCAGGCTGGTCAGGGCTGGATCAGTCTGGAAAGGCAGCAGAGTGGAGGCTGCTGGGCAAGGATGCCACAGCGTGTCTGTCCTGTGTGGGGTGAGCAACCAGAAGAGACAGACTCAGCCTCCTGGCCCTGGTCCCCAGCCTGCTGGGCTGGATTTGGCCCCAGTGAGCGTTCTTGCTCCTATGGTGGTGCTCACCAGAAGGCAGCAGAGCTGGGGAAGTCTCTGGTTATTCTGTGCTATGAAGGAACACATTCCTCTCCATGAACACCCAAGCAATTATTTGGCAATTCCTCTTCTGTGTGAGAGTGTTTCCTGACCAGATTCTTGATGCAGCCAGTGAAGTGCAGAGCTCCCAGCCCCAGCATCAGCCATTAGTGTGTTTCCAACAGGCATTTCTTACCTGGAATCTTCTGTGCTGGCCTAGAGGTGCAGCCCATACCACTGGTCTGTTTTACACCCTGTTGCCACCCAGAGATTCATGTGGAGTCTAAGATAAGCAAGGTGCTCAGGCCTGCTCCCTGGGAGAAGACAGTCGTGGATCAGTGAAATGGGAGGAAGAGTCTGGGAAGCAGTGCTGTCTTCTGAGAAGCACAGCTTGCAAGGCACCAGCAGTTCTGCTCATTCCCTCTGTCTCTGACACCCAGCACACTTAAAACTCCCCTGCCTCAATTTTCCCAACGTTGAGGACACTTGGCTCCCTTCCAGGAATTTTCTGGTGCCTGTTTGTCAATGGAGCTTTTCTCTCATTAATTCTAGTCTTTTGATGGGATAACATCTATCACCTAGACCAAAAAAATCCTCAGGAAATTTGGGTGTCCATCTCAGCTGCAGAAGTGGGGCCAAAGGAAATGATTATTGGTGAGGATAGGAGCAGCAACTAGAAAGTGTGTGTGCATCAGAGCATCACATTGATTTAGGAGGAGCTGCAAATCACTCACCATTAAAAGGACAGAGTGATGTTACCTGAGTTGACAGGTTGAGATTTGTAGCTGGCTGAGAATACCTGGCTTGGGGTGAGTTCTGCAGGTGCTGGGTGCCTTGGCATTCAGAGGGAGAAGATAGGATCGAGCACCTCTGTGCCAAGCCTGTGGTGTGCTTTGTGCAGCAGCACTGGATAATTGCAGGATTGATGCCAAGGTGCCCGTTAGCAACGGGCCCTTGGACAGGGCACTCCCAGCTTGGAGCACATGAAAGCAGTGTGGCCTGGAAGGAATCTTAAAGGCAGAAACCAAATGATTTTTTTCAAGAATGAAAAAGGGAGAAGAAAGCTGAAATTCCAGGACATTAGTGAAATCGGTGGTAATTAAAAGTCTGGCCAACTTAGAAGGTGGGAGAAGTGTTTGTCTGGTTCCTGGTAGGACAGAGATGTTTGTGCTTTGTGCCAAGCCCCCAGAGCCTTTTGCAGGGGACTGAGCTGTGCAGCAGGTGAGTGGAGGAAAGGAGAAGTGGGGATGTGCCCTCAGCACTCTGCCCGGGCTCTCCCACGCCCCATGGGAAGGCTGCAGAGAACCCACCCTGAGCAAACACAGCCCTTGTTTTCCTCTTCCCTGGCACTTCCCTCTCTGTAATGTGTGGCACAGCACAGCACAGGATCAGGCCTTTGCCAGCTGCCTGGAGAAGCAGATGGAAGCTGTTTGGGGGCTTAGTCCCACTGGCTTGAAATCAAGAGGCAAAGGGAGATGATGGGAGAGAGTCCTGTATCTTCCAGCACCTGAGCTGGCAAAATCACTGCTTTCAAAGACAACCAGGAGATTACAGGGAGGGAAAAGAAACAGCTTAACTGAGCTAATGAATCAGTTTTTCAGGCAGGGGCCACGCTGCAGATCCCTGTGCTGGTGAGGCTGCACATCTGAAGGTGTCTATAGTCTGGGCTACCATTTGTTTGATTGTTAAGGGGGTGGCTGCAACTCTGCTTACAAATTAGTGCTTTGATTTTGCTGATTTACTTTCAGGCTTGTGAAGTACTCAGAGCAGTTCCTCTCCAGTGACCCTATCCTGTCTGGATGTCTCCCCAGCAACCCCTGGATAACAGATGACCCTGACTTCTGGGATTTCAATGCAAAGCTGTATGTATTTGTGTTCTTTTGCCAGCTTGTGGTTTACACTGACCTTTATGCTGATAGAAATCAGAGAAGGGAACCATTGATGCTGTCATGATATCTGGTCTCTGATCCTGAGCAGGGAAGCATTCCCTTTCTGACATAGCTTGGCCATGCTGAAGAGAATGTCTCCTGGGAATACTCCATGCTCAACTTCCAGCATTATCTTCTTCAAGTGGAGCCTTCCTTAACATTACAGAAATTCCTAAACTGGTGATGGGGGTGTACACTCAGCCCTTGCTGAGTGGTCCTAATTCCCCCCCTCAGATGAGTGAAGTCTACTTTTATCAGCACAGGAATGGAATACAACCAGTTACACTCCAGTGTAGCACTTGGTTTAGTGTTAACCTTTGCTAAAGTAGGTGCTGCCAATGATGCAGCAATTCAGGCTTCAACTACAGGCCCTGGAGCTTTGCACACACCTCAGGCTGCTTTTTTAGGAGAGAGTTTGAGCTGGAGGCACGTAGAATCATAGGATCATTTTGGTTGCAAGAGACCTTTAGGATGATCAAGCCACCATACTGGTCCATCCCTTCTCTGATGTCTCCCTTGGTTTTCCATTTGGGTAGGTTTTGCTAATTATACAGTGGCACCTCTGGGCTGGAAGCTTACAACAAACTACTGGCTCTCATTTGAGACCAGCAATCCTGTTAGGGTGATAATCTCCCATTAGACAGCCCCCAAGGACACCCTCACAGAATGCCTTTATGAGAAGCAAAGCTTTGAGCAACAAGCAGTGCCTCCTCCAGGACAGGGCTGAGTCAAACCTCTGGCTTTGCCAGGCTGTTGTTGTGAGAGCATTCTAAATGTGAGATAAATCCTCATCCCACTGTGTACCAAGTTGTTTAATGAGGGCTTACTCAGCGGGCTGACTTCAGGAGCTTATTACAGCCTTCTGAAAACAGAGCACTGAGAAGTCTCTTGGCATTCCAGCACAGGGCATTTGGGTTTTAATTGATCTGCCCACGAGATGTGCCCCCTGGACCTGGCAGTGCTGTTTGTTTCCACCCCGTGCAGAGTGGAAGTCCCCACCAGAATGCGCGTGGAGCGATGGGCCTTCAACTTCAGCGAGCTGATCCGGGACCCCAAGGGCCGGCAGAACTTCCAGCTCTTCCTCAAGAAGGAGTTCAGCGGTGGGTCTGCTGTGCCTCTGCCCCTGTCCCTGCCCGGGCCACCCAGTGGTGGAATCCGCGCCTCTGCAGGAGGTGCTGCGAGCCCAGACGGTGGCAGAGTGAGGCAGGAGAGGCGGCGGAGGTGTCTGGGGAGGCGACGGCTGTGCAGGCAGTGCTTGCAATACCATCTAGTGGCACAGGACCCAAAATACAGCCCAGGGCACTCCCTCTGCAGGGGGACTGCTCGCAGGAGAGCTGGACCTGCCTGGATTCACACGCTGGAGCAGAGCAGGGCAAAGCTCTTTTCCTCCTTCAGTCCCAAGGGGTTTTTCAAGGTGGCTTTAAGAATTGGAGAGGCTGGATTAGGGCCGACACATATCGAGGCACACAAATTCAGTTTAGGAGTTAATAAAAGGGATTGTGTTTTCCTCAGTCCCTCTCTCTGCTGACCACATCCTTGTTACACAGGAGAGAATCTGAGTTTCTGGGAAGCTTGTGAGGATCTGAAGTATGGAGACCAATCCAAGGTCAAGGAAAAAGCAGAAGAAATTTACAAGTAAGTGTGTTGATTTTGGATTCTAAAACTCTTTGTGCAAGTCCCATCACCTCCTTCACATGTTGTCACTCTCCAGATGATTTCTTCCTGAGACCTCTCTGTGTAAGCTGTCATCAGAGGTAGCTGTGCTGTGCCCCCACATAGGAAAGGAGCTGAAGGGACCTTTCCTTCCAGGCACAGCCAGAGGAATCTCTGGCAATTCCCAGTTGTTAATGGCACTGTTGATTCCTCCTCCTCCTCTCAGGCTCTTCCTGGCTCCGGGGGCAAGGCGCTGGATTAACATCGATGGTACCACAATGGGCATCACGGTGAAAGGCCTCAAGCACCCTCATCGTTATGTTTTAGATGCTGCTCAGACCCACATTTACATGCTGATGAAAAAGGTTTGTTATTTGTTTCCAAAGCCTGGGGGGGGATTCCAGATCTCTTGGGCCTTTCCGGGGCCTGTTTGTGCTATCAGCTCTCACTTTCAAGTGGCCTTTGTTTGAAAATCCCTCAAATTTGCTGACTTAGGCAAGCACTGCTTTAGGCCTGTTGTTTTTCTGCTGCTTCCTCCCTCTAAGGCAGCACCTCCCTAAGGTTGTGGAGGTCAGGGGTCTGCTGGAAGTCCTGCTTTCTCCTATCAGCCTGATCACCAGCTGGTTCAAAGCTTGAACAAGTCTTTTCTCTGTGCCACACTGGGTATCCCTGTGGTGGGATGCTTGTATCCAACTGGATTTCAGCAGTGGATGGGAAGGCTGGTAGCAGTTGTGATATAACTGCAGGATTTTGCTACCAAGAGCATAACCTGGTGTGGCCCGTCTTGAGTTCTACTGATTTTTTTTTTTTCCCCACATTTTTCTGCAGTTTTGTTGCTGGACACCCTGTTTTAGGTCTGACTGATGCAGCAGACTGGAGGCTGAAGTTAGCATACAATATCATGGCTTTCATTAGGTCATGGTGGCCACAGATAACCTGTAACTCCTCCCTGTGAGGGATACAAACTACACTTAGCAGGAAGGAGGAGCACTGTGGGCCATAGCAGCAGCTGATGCACGTTGACACTGAAAGCAGCAGAACTGCACTTACTGATTCTTGCCAGTTGTTGAAAAGTTCAGTTCCTGAAACGTGAGCACTTCAGCAACACCACTGGCCTGGGCTGAGCTCAGCTCAGACCTTTTGATCTGGATCTTACTTGGGAAGCTTCATTGTGAGGTGGGAAATCCTGGGAATTTTACACCAAGATGAAAGATTTAAATAAGCTGCATTTGCCTGAAAGATGCAAAGTCCCTTGGGCTGCTGGGGGAGATGATCTAGTTCCCAGCCTCCCTGGCTCCCCAGCAGCTGTACTTGGTGGTGATTTTCATAAGGGTGTTCACAGCCCATAACTCCCCATCTCTTTCTTCCTCCTAGTAGGACTCCTACGGCCGCTATTTAAAGTCTCCAATCTACAAGGAAATGCTGGCCAAGGCTATTGTGCCACAGGAGACTGTCAAAAAAAGGCAAGTGAAACTGGATGGAAGTGTGGGGTTTGTTTTTCTTGTTGTAGCAAGGGTAGGAAAAGCCTGAGTTGCAGGAAAATTACTATGATTTAGATGTTCACTTAATTAAATCCCATTTTGCACTGAAAAGATGCCTCACTTTGAGACTGATGATGCTGCTTATTTGTCAGCCTTTTGGAAGTGGCTTCTGTGCAGCCAGCATCGACTTGGCTCAGCTGCTGTGTCTGTTGGGTCTGGTTAGAAAGGCTGTGGTTGTTGAATTAATCCTGGAAGGAGGCAGAGCACTGTGTCCTGGGCCAGAGACACTCCTGGCTGCCAGAGGAGACACAGACCCACCTCCACGGGCTCTGCATGGTGCCACTTACCCCTGTGAGGTGAAGGGGACAGGCAGCACGCAGCATCTTGCCAGCGGGTGACTGCTCAGGCAGCCTCAGAAGGGGCAGGCTTGGAATGGCTTTTTCCAGACCAAGATGAAGGTTGCAAGGCAAATTTTGGCTGTTTGAACTGCAGTTGCTTCTTAAAGCTGAGCGTGCAGCGTGGGAGCCAGACTGGGTGGTGTGCTGCTTTCTCTGTTCCTCTTCCACTCCACGAGCTAGCAAGCTAGAAAGAGGAATCATGGACTTTCACACTAGTGTTTCATCTGAAGCCCATTTCAAGTCAGTGGAAAAAAAAAACACCTTCCTGCTGACTTGCCTGGGGCTTGGTTGGTTTTTCCCTGAGCCACACATGACAAGGTCACTGGGAGATGCTGACTGACCTCTGGTGACTACCCCCATGTTTGTCAGTGCCTGTTTTGGAGACATAGTGCTCAGTGTCCTGGGTGAGCTAAAGAGCCAGTACCTCATCCAGGGGTGGGATAACATCTGTTTCCACTGCTGCTGGTAATGGCCTGGCTAAAGCAGGTGCCAGGTGGGTTTGGGGGTGTCACAGACACTAGAAACACCTGTACTTGATCTTACTGAGGGTGCTGGAAAACATTCCACTGGTAGCAGTGGTTTGGCATCACACTGAGTGTTAGTTCTGTGCAAATGTTGAGAAAGGGAGTAATGTACTGGCCATCTCCTGGCCCTGAAGTCCCTCACCAGGACCAGGACCAGGACCAGGACTGACTTTGTGCTTTTAGCAGTTCTGTAGCTGATGTGTGACACCGAGTCAGCGAGTCCTTTAAAGCACCTTGTCTGCATTTGTGCTTTTTAGCAGTTCTGTAGCTGATGTGTGACACCGAGTCCTTTAAAGCACCTTGTCTGCCTTTGTGCTTCCTTGTTGTGTGGGTGGTGGTGGCATGTCCATCTCTGTGCCTGAGAAGTCTGCTTACCAGGGGTGAGGTTTTGGTGCTCCTCTACTTTTCAGTGACCCCCTGCTCCTTTCCCTCTCTCTGCCCAGCTCCCCGTTCCCCTTCGCACGCCGTCACCTCCGCTCCAGCCCCAGCCCCATCATCCTGAGGCAGCGGGAGGAAGAGGCCAAAGCCAAAGAAGCCGCCGCGGCCGTGGACATCACGCAGGTCATGAGCAAGCTGGACCGCAGGAGCCAGCTCAAGCAGGAACCTCCCAAGTAGGCTCTGAGCCCCGCAGGGAAAAGACAAGCCGAGGCTGCTGTTGAGCTTCGTCTCCCCTTCCTGAAGGTGTCAGTGCTGCTCCAGGTTTCCCGGGCCGGCTCTGCCACCAGCCTGCTCCCTGCTCAGCAGCAGATGTCACTTCCCGGGCATGCCAGGCGTGGGAGTGCTGGTGGAGCCAGGCTGCTGGCTGTGCCGGCCTCGGGGCGCAGGGGCCGGCCCCCCTCTGCACACACCTCGGAGGGGAGATGCCTTCTGGCTGCCCCAAGAAGGAGGAGAAGGAGGCTGGGGAGCTCACCCACCCCTCCCTGCCTCCTGCTCCTAAGGGAGGTGGGATGGCACAAGGCAGAGTGAAGCTCTGCTGTCCCAAGGCTTTGAGTTCACACCAGCCTTCCTGGGAGCAGAGGTGGAGGAGCCCACAGGGAGCAGGGTGAGGTGGCCAAGCTCAGAACACGTCCATGCTAGCACCCATCCTCTCAGGGGGATGTGCACCCTCCCAGGGCAAGCACCCCGGGGCACCTCCTGAGAGGAGGGCACCCCCTCTTCAAGTATCCTGCCCCTCCTAGCCAGTGCAACAGAGCCACAGGCAGGAGAGTGGGGTAGAGTTCTTGTGAGAACAGATGGATGAGTGTTTCTGAAGGTTTAGCTGAAATTTAGAATTTTTGTGGCACTCCCAGGTACCCCCATGACTCCTGGCACCAGTGTGCAGGTGTGGAGAGCCCAGGAGCCTCCAGGAGGGCTGGAGAGATGCAGCCCCCCCTTTGCATTTCTTTCATCAAATCCTTCCCACCTCTTGTCTTGTCTTTTTCCTGCTCTTCTCTTTTCTGTTGCTAAAAGAATAACAGGAGGTAGTTCCAGCGGCCCCTGCCTTGTAGCCCAGAGGGGAGGAAGCAGCAGGGTCGAGGCGTTAAGAGCCGATTCCGACTTTAAGTAGCGATTCTTTTGTTTTGCTCTTTAGAATGAGGCAACCTAGAGTACTACGGTAGTGCTGAAAGCTCAGGGAGATTCCAGGCCGTGCTGGGAAGCCCCGGCGTGGCTGCACCAGGCCGATGGTTACCAGCAGGGGGGAGATTCCTGCACGGCACAGTGAAGGGAATTCGGAGAGCAGAAGAGCTCCCTTGTTTAAGTGTCGGGAAGCAGAAGGATGGAGTGGGAAGCGCTGAGGTCAGGGAAGTTCCTTCACTATGAGGGCGAGCAGGCTCAGACTGGGATCTTGATTTAAAATGCTGCTCAAAACCCCAGTGCTTTTGTACCTTGACATAAGAGCACTGGGAGATACTCAAGAACTTGACAGGGTTGGTCCAAAGCTATTTGGATGTGCTGAGTTCTGCAGTGTGTTCCTAGTCTGTCTAACGTGGAGCACTGAACATGTTGGCATTGCCAGTCTGTAGCAACACAGGGAAGATCAAGTCAGGGTATAAATAATAAACAACAAAATCTGTGTGTTCCAGTCAGTCCCTCTGATTCTACTCCTGTTTTGTCTGTAGCTTGACTTTGATCCTCTCTCTATCCATTCCTTACTCTGATTTTTCATCATCTCAGCTTTGTATCACTGTCCCCCTGCCATGGGTGAGTGCTCTGGGGTCAGGGTGTGTGTGACAGCCACACTGGGTGCAGGCAGGAGCTGGCTCTGTTCTGCTCAGGCTGTAACCCTGGCATGACCAGTGTGCCCCTCCTCAGTCCCTGGTCCAGAGCATGACCCTGGTGCAAACCTGGTACTTTGCTTTGTGCCAGCCAAGAAATAGTTGCTTTTCATTGGAAATCAGAACAATGTGTTGCTTCATTTTTTTTGGCCATTGCTTCCGTGCATTCATTGGTCTAATAAAAATAAATGTAGAAAATGAAAAAAAGAACTAAGTTCATCCTTCTGTGTCTTGTGTCAGTGTGTTCATCCTTCACTGTGCCACCTCTCTCCACACGTACATGTGTTTTCTGTGTGTGCCTCTGCTCCCAGCACTTCTCTTTGGACACTTGAGCTGCATTTTGTTTCTGCTGGGTGTGTGAGTCCTTGGGAACTGGGGAGGACCCAGTGTGCAGCAGGTCTCCTGCTGATGAATCTGTACTTGGGCTTGTCCTGAGGGCTCAATTAGCTGAGCTGGAAACTTCACAGCACCAGCCAGGGACACTTGGGGGCTTCAGCACAAGTTGTGGCTTCTTGTATTATTGATCACCAGAGTTTGGAGCTCAGTGTGCTGGGTGTGTGAGTCCTTGGGAACTGGGGAGGACCCAGTGTGCAGCAGGTCTCCTGCTGATGAATCTGTACTTGGGCTTGTCCTGAGGGCTCAATTAGCTGAGCTGGAAACTTCACAGCACCAGCCAGGGACACTTGGGGGCTTCAGCACAAGTTGTGGCTTCTTGTATTATTGATCACCAGAGTTTGGAGCTCAGTGTCCTCTTTGTTGGCCACCACAGCAGCCAGCACGGTGCTGTGGGTGTGACGTGGTTATGCCATTCATAACCAGGATCACATTCCTGGGATAAGGGACTGCAGCATGCCTGGAGCTGATCGTGGTAAGGGGTGAGGCAAGCTGGTGTCTCCTGCAGCGCCCCAGCGGGTGTGAGGGCGGATCTGCCAGCATTCACCGGGACCGGTGGCCGTGACTGTTGCTTTGCCGCGGGCATATGGTGGCACCTCTGCTCTGGGAGGGCAGGGAAGGGGGCGGCGCTGCCCGAGACGGGGGCAGCAGCCCGGGCTGGGCGGGGGTGGCTCTCGGTGGCCCCTGAGCCCCGTCTTTCCTGGCGGC